TCAAGTGGTAGAGCGCTCGCCTTGAGTTGAAGAGCTGAGGGACAACGCCCAGGCCCAGAGTTCAAGCCCCACGACCGACAAAAAAAAAAAAAAAAATTATATATATATAGAAAAAAATAGAACAAAAGAAGAAATAGATTCCTGTATGTGTGCCTTTATATTTCCAGAACTAAGAAGAATATACTGTTACCACGTTATTTAATTGTGTAATCCTTAGACAGTGGTTCAGTTTGGTTTACTCTTCTGAGGCATGGAGATGGGATCCAGGCCCACCTGAAACACAGGGATCATAACTGACTTTTTTTCTCTTGGTCAAGCATGCCTTCCAATTATCCAGTTCTCTGGAGGTTCTCTTGTGGAGGCTTTTTTTTTTTTTTTGCCAGTCCTGGGGCTTGAACTCAGAGCTTGAGCAATTGTCCCTGAGCTGCTTTTGCTCAAGGCTAGTGCTCTATCAATTGAGCCCACAGTGCCACTTCTGGCTTTTTGTATTCACGTGGTGCTGAGGAATCGAACCCAGGGCTTCTTGGATGCTAGGTAAGCACTCTAGCACTAAGCCACAATCTCAAGGCTAGCACTCAGTCACTTGAGTTACAATCCACAGCTCCATGTCTGGCTTTTTTTGGAAATGAGAGTCTCAAGGGTTTTCCTGCCTGGGCTGGCTTTGAACTGTGATCCTTAGATCTCAGCCCCCTGAGAAGCTAGGATTACAGGGGCACCTGCATTTTCTTTCTTTCTTTTTTCTTTTTTCTTTTTTTTTTATAAAACATCAACAGGAAGTCAGCTTGAGATAGATCCTTTGTTTCCCATTCTTACAATTGAACATCTAAGAATGATGTGGTGGGAAGACAGCTAGTTTTGTTTAGTTTGTTTTTTGTTGGTTGTAGGGCTTGAACTCAGAGCTTGGGAACTGTCACTGAGTTTTTTCAGCTCTAGGCTAGAGCTCTAACACTTTGAGCTATGGCCCACTTCTGGTATTGTGGTGGCTAATTGGAGATAAGAGTCTCTTGGATTTTCCAGCCTGGGCTGGCTTTGAACTGCAATCCTCAGATCCCAGCCTCTTAACTAGCTAGGATTGTAGGGTTATAGGTGTGAGCTCCCAGTGCCTTTCTTAGAATTTTTGGCTAGGTGCCGGGTGCCTGTGGCTCATGCCTGTAATCCTAGCTACTCAGGAGGCTGAGATCTGAGGATCAAGGTTCAAAGCC